GGCTCTCTGGCGGCTTGAGGCGCTTGGCGCTCTGTTAAAATTGAACCGACCCCAACGAGATTGGTATGTAGCAACGCAGCGCAACTTCGCGATCACGGCGGTATCACTCGCAGCTCCGTCCGCCTCCATTTTCGGCCGTGCGGTGCCGAGAAAGTGATCGGTGTACCCCTTCACCCCGGGTTTGCTTCTTCTCCAGGGCGCCCTTCTCTCATGATCACGGGCAGCAGAGGCACGCCGTGCACGCCACGACCAAGGCCCTCGGCGAGCCCGCCAGCAGCAACCCCGGCTGAGGAGGGTAGAGCGAGAACGGAGAGGACTGAGGCGAGAGCAGGGTGGGGTGAGGGGATGTAGGAGAGGGGGGAAGGGGGGGACTTCTGCAAGCAGGTGCCCTCCTCGACCACCGCAAGATATCGAGGGTGGCTGGGGGAGGCAGGGGGAGGCAAAGCAACCCAGTGTGCAGGCGGCCCTGTGGGCTGGGCCCGTGGTATCGGCGCGCAGCGACGTGGCGTGGCGTGGTGCGGAGGGGAGGGGCTGGCAGCAGGGGCGTATGCAGCGGCGGCGGCGGCGTCTGGACTCGCCTGATAACGCACGGGCCCGTATCAACACCTCGGGCGGAGGGCGGGCGGCGGGCGGACAACCGGACGGGCAGAGGAGGGGCGGACGGCGGAGGGACAGAAAAATTATCTCGCGCCAAACGCAGTGCGCGCTATGGTGCGCGGCTGTGCGCGGCGGCCGGGTCGCGGGTCCCCAATGTGGACCGCGCGGTGACCGACCCCGGCGCGGCGCGAGGCAGCGGCGCGGGGCCGCCGCGGGGGGACTATCAGCGCGGCGGGGCGGGCGCGACCGACAACAACCCGCGTCCAGGCCATCGAGAAGTGGGACAGAGTACAGTATGCCGAGTGCACATGCAGAGCCGCAGGGCCACAAACAACAGGGCCGCGCTGACCTTGTAGGAGAACAGCCTCCTCATCCACCTCCAGCACCATCATCACCACCACCACCACCACCAGCGAGGTGGAAACCAACTCTCAATTAACGTTTCATGAAAATAAAATAACCACTTTGCTCTTATTTTCCTCTCACACACGCACAGAAACCTTATCCTGAGCCGAGGGGCCCGCGCAGCCGCGAGCTGGCCAACCTCCCACCCTTTCTTATCCTCCGCAGCGGCGGCAGCCCCAGCCGCCCCAGCCCCGCAGCGACCCCGTGTGCAACCCTACCCTACCCTCCTACCCCTCCCTATCTCAGGGCCTTGCCTGCCCTGCCTGCCTCGACAATCCAGCATCATCGCCCCCTCCCCCCCTTACCCCCCTCGCGGCGGGGCTGCTCGGCCCGCCCCTGACGGCCGGGGGACTCTTATCAGCCGTTCCCGCGCTCGGCACGGCTCTGCCCGGCTCGGCCCCTCAGCCGGTCGTGCTGCTGGTGGAGATGGTTGTGCCCCTGCATGCCGCTGCTGGCCGGCCACCACCCGTTATTTGCCCAGAGCGAAACCTTCCTGTTTGCAGTCCGCCCCGCCCCGCCCCGCCCCCAAGCCCTTCTTGCGAGTAAACTCGATAAAGCGCGCCGCCAACGACGCCACGGCCTTCACGCGTTTATCGCGACGAAGAAATACTTCACAAAATAAGAGGAGACGGAGCTGTTGGCGCGAGAGAGACGGCGGCGGCACGCCTCGGCGACGGCGCGGGTGCGAGCGAGACAGGCGACAGGTCGGCTGCCGAAGCGCGCAGCCCTCGCGAGGCCACACACCACCCCGTCGTGGAAACACAACATGAGGCGCCACGTGAGTCGAGAGGCGGCAGCCGGCAGCATCACGCGGAACGCGCGACACAGAGAAGAGCGCCAAAGGGAACATCCCCTCGGGGTGGCCGGAAGGAACGCCCAAGGGCACCGTGCCCGAGGGGAACATCGAGGCAAAACACTGCGGAGAACACCCAGTAGCGCGTGCAAGCAGCGTGGCCCGCGGCCCGGCGGCGCCCTGTGGCTCTCTGACGGCAAGGGGTCGCCGTCGAGCGAGGAGTATATAGTGGAGTACATAATGCTCTCCGGGCAAAGCCGAGCCGAGGAGGTGCCTTCTGTTATGCCACGGGTTGCCTAACTGGAAGGCGCTTTGCGGAAGCTCAAAGATCCACAAACAAACGGAGTGGAGGTAGGAGAGAGGGGGCGGAGAGAAGGAGGAAGAGGACACAGAGGGAGGGAGGGGGGTG